AGAACTGCTTTTTCTGTTGGTGGAAATGTTGGTCAGAAATATAAATATATGTTCCAGAGGAAAACTGGACTCTTACTGGGCACAGCTTTCCCCAGATACTCGAACCACTGCCGCAGGGTGGAGTCTCCCATCATGTATATCTGCTTGCCTGTGAGGCAGCGAATCACATCTGATTTGGAGAAGGTCTTTGTGCGACACACCAATGACGTCCAGTGGTCCTTGAAGAAGAACCCTGAAGGTACTGGTGTGTTCAGACCTGACACACATTTTTTGGTTTCACCTGTGACAGAAAGACAGAAAATGGACGCTGAGGAACATTTTTGTACCATTGAGATGAATTAATGTCATTTGTACCTTGGGGAACAAAACTGGAGCAGTGCTGTACACTTTTTCTGACGATGCCTTTTTTGAGTCTGTCTTGGATTGTAGTTTGTCTCACTTCTTCTCAGCAGACATATTTGCCAAGGGAGGCTCAACCAGGAGATCCAGACAACATACAGAACTGTGGAAAAGTCCTAGACAGGTAAAGGAAATGTTTAAAACTATTTATCTGGGTAGTATGTATATATGTGCTCAGACAAAAAAGCACAATTTAATATTAGAACATATGCTGATTATGAGCAACACAATAAAAACTCTCTCATGTTCTTCAAAAGGTTACTGATATCTTGCTGGATGACTAGATGAATATCATTTTGGTTCCTAAACCTCTCCTCAGGGGCACCTCAGCCAATTAATGTATTTGTTAAATTTCACCACAAGCTCATTTAATTCATTAATTGAGTTAGTTTAAAAAAAAACCACTGAGGCATAGATTAGCCATATTTTGAGAGTGTAAGACTGTAAGATTTCCTTTATTGTAATTTTATCATACACTTTAGTATGATTAAGAATGAAATACTGTTCCTCCTTGACCAACAGCATAAATAGATACATTAATATAAAAAATCTAGGGAGCATTAAAAACATCATGCACAATACACACAACACACATACAGCCCGTATCCATGGTGATCCACGGTGCATTTGGAGGGAGTAGCAACATGAAAAAAATCTTTTTCAGTAACAAATCTTTTATAGTGTGTTGAAGGATGTAGCAGCTAGTGGTCTACTCAAAGAATACAAGGGTATATTGGATGGTTGCTGCAAATACTGAGGTGACTTTAGGAGAGGTTTGGAAATGACTAAGGGCTGACACACTTCGACATACGTAATATCACAGTTTTATATCAACATGAAGACCATTTAGACAATTTTCTGTGACTACCTAAGACAGGGATCGGCAACCTTTTTAAAGCAAAGAGCCATTTAATCCTAAATGTTTTACCCTAGATTTACGAAAAGTTGCAATGGGTAGAGAAGGGGGTTTGAGATACAATTTTTAAATGCGATATGCGTATTCAGCCATGGCCAAAAGTTTTGAGAATGACACAAATATTGATTTTCACAAAGTCTGCTGCCTATTTTTATGATGGCAATTTGCATATACTCCAGAATGTTATGAAGAGTGATCAGATGAAATCCCTCTTTGCCATGAAAATGAACTTAATCCCAAAAAAAACATTTCCACTAGATTTCAGCCCTGCCACAAAAAGACCTGCTGACATCATTTCAGTGATTCTCTCATTAACACAGGTGAGAATGTTGACGAGGACAAGGTTGCAGATCACTGTCATGGTGATTGAGTTAAAATAGCAGACTGGATGCTTTAAAAGGATGGTGGTGCTTAAAATCATTGTTCTTCCTCTGTTAAACATGGTTACCTGCACTGCAAGGAAACACGTGCAGTTGTCATTGCTTTGCACAAAAAGGGTTTCACATACAAGGATATTGCTGCTAGTAAGATTGCACCTAAATCAACCATCTATCAGATCATCAAGAACTACAACGAGAGAAGTCCAATTGTTGTGAAGAAGGCTTTAGGGCACCCAAGAATGTCCAGCGAACACCAGGACCATCTTCTAAAGTTGATTCAGCTGCAGGATCAGGGCACCACAAAGGCACAACCTGCACAGGAATGGCAGCTGGCAGGTGTGAGTGCATCAGACTTTTGGAGGACAAAAGAAGGGCAGCAAAGAAGCCACTTGTGTACTCACAATTTTGCCTAAGAACACAGCCATGAATAAAGAATGGTACCAAAACATCCTCTGAGAGCAACTTCTCCCAATCATCCAAGAGCAGTTTGGTGACGAACAATGCCTTTTCCAGCATGATGGAGCACCGTGCCATAAGGTAAAAGTGATAATGAAGTCAGACCTTAATCCCATTGAGAACTTGTGGTCAATCCTCAAGAGGCGGGTGGACAAACAAAAACCCACTAATTCTGACAAACTCCAAGCATTGATTATGCAAGAATGGGCTGCCACCAGTCAGGATTTGGCCCAGAAATTTATTGACAGCATGTCAGGGTGAATTGCAGAGGTCTTGAAAAAGAAGGGCCAACACTGCAAATATTGACTTTTTGCATAAACTTATTGTAATTGTCAGTAAAAGCCTTTGACACTTATGAAATTCTTGTAATTATACTTCAGTATACCATAGAAACATCAGACAAAAAGATCTACAAACACTGCAAATTTTGTGAAGACCAATACTTGTTTCATTCTCAAGATATCAATATATCCTTATCAGTATCCTATTGTGTCACCAAAAATTTAAAACAGTATGATTCTCTCATTTTGCAAATTTCGAAGGACGTGCAAAATTTGCGGGGTCAGGAGCGCAGGACAGGGCAGGCAGGCAGGGCAGGCGGGAGAGGGTAGGCAGGCAAGGCAGGTGAGACAAGCAGGCAGGACACAGCAGGGAGGGCAAACGGGAAAGACAAAATAACGCTTGGTAATGCTTCTAACTATGGCAACAGTACTTTGCAAAGTATGTGAGGACTCATCCACTTTAAGAAGCGGCGCTAACAAGGGGGAATTGCCTGCAGCTGCTACATCCCGCCCATGTGGGCGTGACACTATCAGTGATATTTACTAACTCCAGTACTATTGGGGCATGAAAAACACACATACACTAATCCCAGATTGTCACATATACCCTTCACCATCAATTCTGCTTTCATAGTTCTACTGGCCATCTGACTACTTTGATCCAGAGTTGAATGCATCACTAAATTAAAATCCCCTTTAATTATTATGTTATTATGATTATTATGATTTCTTGTTTGTTGAATTTTGGCTTCCAGTCCACCAAAAAAGTCAGGATCATCAACATTCGGTGCATAAATATTAACTAATGAAATCAGGTGAGACTGTTTCTCTTCTAATATTATGAAAAGCCTCCCTTCAGTGTCTTTAGTTACCTTAAGACATTTCAATTGTAATTTTTTATTAACTAATGTTCTAACCCCTCTTCTATGTCCAGGGCCCACACTACAGAACACCCAGCCAACCCAGTCTCTGGGAAATTTCTCTGAGTCTAATAATGACGAATTTGTTTCCTGCAGGAAAATTATATCCAATTGTTTTGGCTTCAAAACTGACAGAACTTTCTTATGTTTCAATGGATGCCCAAGACCATTAACATTCCAGGTGGAAAAATAGACATTATTGAATCTAAGTGCCATATATCAAAAATCAGAACATAAAGATACACAAAGCCATCCCCTCTTAAACAGTCCCAAAGAATACCATTGAAATCCTCCTGTACCCCACCCTCTCCCAACATAACCAGACTGCACATTAAACTAAAATTTGTACCTCAAATACACCCCACAACAAAACTGTAGGTCCGTGAACTGTGGACTGCCTGTAACATGACCCACATTTGACCCAACGGTATCATCCAGTCAAAGAAAACATCCATCCATCCATCCATTATCTCCCGCTTATCCGAGGTCGGGTCGCGGGGGCAGCAGTCTCAGCAGGGAAACCCAGACTTCCCTCTCCCCGGCCACTTCATCCAGCTCCTCTGGGGGAATCCCGAGGCGTTCCCAGGCCAGCCGAGAGACATAGTCCCTCCAGGGTGTCCTGGGTCTTCCCCGGGGCCTCCTCCCAGTGGGACATGCCCGGAACACCTCACCAGGAGGCATCCTAATCAGATGCCCGAGCCACCTCATCTGACTCCTCTCAATGCGGAGGAGCAGCAGCTCTACTCTGAGTCCCTCCCGAATGACCGCGCTCCTTACCCTATCTCTAAGGGAGAGCCCAGCCACCCTGCGGAGGAAACTCATTTCGGCCACTTGCACTCTCGTTCTTTCGGTCACTACCCACAGCTCGTGACCATAGGTGAAGGTAGGAACGTAGATCGACTGGTAAATCGAGAGCTTCGCCTTTTGGCTCAGCTCCTTCTTTACCATGACAGACCGATGCAGCACCTGCATCACTGCGGACGCCGCACCGATCTGCCTGTCGATCTCCCGCTCCATCGTCCCCCTACTCGTGAACAAGACGACGAGATACTTAAACTCCTCCACTTGGGGAAGGACCCCATCCCCGACCCGGAGAGAGCATTCTACCCTTTTCCGGCTAAGGACCATGGTCTCGGATTTGGAGGTGCTGATTCTCATCCCAGCCGCTTCACACTCGGCTGCGAACTGTCCCAGCGAGAGCTGAAGGTCACGGTCCGATGAAGCCAACAGGACCACATCATCTGCAAAAAGCAGAGACCTAATCCTGAGGTCACCAAACCGGACACGCTCAACGCCCTGGCTGCACCTAGAAATTCTGTCCATAAAAACTATGAACAGAATCGGTGACAAAGGGCAGCCCTGACGGAGTCCAACCCTCACCGGAAACAAGTCCGACTTATTGCCGCCCATGCGGACCAGACTCTGGCAACGGTCATACAGGGACCGAACAGCCCTTAAAAGGAAGCCCGGCACCCCATACTCCTGGAGCACCCCCCACAGGACTCCCCGAGGGACACGGTCGAATTCCACAAAACACATGTAGACTGGTTGGGCAAACTCCCATGAACCCTCCAGAACCCTGCGGAGAGTATAGAGCTGGTCCACTGTTCCACGGCCGGGGCAAAAACCACACTGCTCCTCCTGAATCCGAGGTTCGACAATCCGGCGGACCCTCCTCTCCAGAACCCCCGAATAGACCTTACCAGGGAGGCTGACGAGTGTGATCCCCCTATAGTTGGAGCACACCCTCTGGTCCCCCTTCTTAAAAAGGGGGACCACCACCCCGGTCTGCCAGTCCAGAGGCACTGCCCCCGATGTCCACGCGATGCTGCAGATGCGTGTCAACCAGGACAGCCCCACAGCATCCAGAACATTAAGGAACTCCGGGCGGCTCTCATCCACCCCTGGGGCTCGGCCACCAAGGAGCTTTTTGACCACCTCAGTGACCTCCGCCCCCGAGATAGGGGAGTCCACCCCCAAGTCCCCATACTCTGCTTCCACATCGGAAGGCGTGTCGGTGCGATTGAGGAGGTCTTCGAAGTACTCCTTCCACCGACCCAAAACGTCCCGGGTTGAGGTCAGCAGCACCCCATCCCCACCATAAACTGTGTTGATGTTGCATCCTGGAGTCGCCGGATGGTGGACCAGAATCGCTTCCATGGCCTCACCAAACTCCTCCCAAACCCGAGTTTTTGCCTCAGCGACCGACGAAGCCGCATCCCGCTTGGCCTGCCGGTACCTGTCAGATGCCTCTGGAGTCCCACAGGCTAAAAAGGCCCGATAGGACTCCTTCAGCTTGACGGCATCCCTCACCACTGGTGTCCACCAGCGGGTTCGCGGATTTTTTCCAAGCTTTTTTTTTAAAAAAAAAATATTCCCTCCACCACCCCCCTTTGCGGAGGACAGCTTTATTTCTATTTAAATATTTATTTATTTATTTATCTATTTATTTATTTTTATTTACTTCCTCAAGAGAAGGAAAGGGAGAGAGAGGGGGGGAAAAAGGAGAAGAAGGGAGATAGAGAGAGAGGGAGAGAGAGGGAAAAAAGAGAGAAAAAACAGATAATCTGCTTCACTGTCTGCTGAAGAGAGAAAACAACAACCAACATCTGTATGAATCCCATCAAAAATCAAACGTTAAATGTTATTGAACAGCACACATACCCAACATTACAACACATGCCCAGAAGCAACAGTTTATCAAGACAGCGCGCGTCCGTGAACACCTGTCCACACACCTGTGTGTGTCAGCGCGCTGGTGTACATAAGATTTCTCTATGTAAATGTCTAGTAGTGTGTGTGGGGAGCCACAGCCCCCCCAGGACATGAAGCTGACATGGAGACCCGGGCCTCAGACATCCAAGCTCTTGACAGCTAGAATACATTATTTGCTTTTTATTTATGACTTTATGACATTTTTGGTGTACATTCTTATTATGGTGGGTGTATGGTGTAATTTCTTTTTTTAAATTTTTTAAATCTGTAAAATCCCTACAACAAACTTAAAATATAATACATAGTAATGTTTTGAAGTCAAACTAAGCTGTTCCTTTTGTATTTAATGGTTTTATGCTTGAGGAATTTGCAAAAAACTGCAGTGCATTGTGCGTAGGATCAAAAGGCTGCCTAACGTCCTCATTCGTCTGACAACATAAATCAAGACTAGGAAGGTACATGCCTAGTTGCGTTTGTTGGTCCAGAAAGTAATTCAATTTCGCAATGTAGGCTACGTTCTTAAAAACTGCTTTTTGTTGGATATAGTGTTACGCTCCAGTCTAGGGTTGGAGTCTAATGGTGCATTCGTTTTTCTCTCGGAACTCGGAAATTCCGAGTTCAGTGACATCACGTCCGACAATCTCCCGTTTGAGCTACCACATCTCGGAACAAACATGGCTGCCTCCATGAACACGTTGCTGTGTGTTGTTACTTTATATTTTAGCAGATTTGGATTGAGATTATTTTTTCTGAGAGGCAAACAAACAAGAAACACGAACTAGTCAAACCACATTAAAAGCTTTATAAAATATTTTAGTACATTCATAGCGATATTCTTTTTTCGAGAGGCAAACAAACTACAAACTACAAACAAACCAAAGACACTAACAAGTCTGGTAAAAAACTCATATTGCATAACAGGATACTGTTTACGGTCATGATATGGTATTCTCTGAATCGAACATGTGCAATTACATTTATAACTATTAATACATTTAACAAAATAAACATTTTTAAAGATTTATAAAATAGAATTACTGTTGAGTGTGTAAGCCGCCATGTTGAAATTACGTCACAGGGGCAACTCGGACAACAAAATCTTGTCCGACATCTACGTCATAAAAGAGGTGTGTTTCCGACGGGAAGTGACGTTTTTCGTGATGTTTTGTGACGTTTTCATCCGAGTTCCAACTTGGAGAGAAATAATCGAACGCACCAAAACAAAGTGAAAAGGAAGGAGGGATTGGGAAGGACAAGACAACCAGAGCTGGGAGAAGTGAACACGGGACACAAAGGGAGTCATTTTATAGTTTTTTTTAAATAGCTTTTCACAGACACTTTACAAACACTAGGTGTAACGAACGTCAGGAGTGACAAAGGCTAAAGGAACAAACAAAAACACATCTACCGAATACAACCCCAAGCTAAGCTAATCCTAAGTGAACACAACAAAAGGGGAAAACGAAACAACAATGCCTAAGCCTAACTCCCTAACCAACAAACAGTAAACCCCTCATTTACGAAGAACAAAAATGGCAGACACTCCTTACACACACCTAGGGCGCTTTTCCACCGCACCAGGTACCGTACTTTCGGTACTTCCATAAAGTACCAAAAGTATAGTACTTCTTTTGTGTCGGTTTTCCACTGCCGTAAAAATTGGTACCGGCGCCAAATGACATCATCAGTGACCGCCCCTGACTGATGTCATCACAAAGCACGGCGAGGTATTTCTTTTGCTGAATTCAGACATGGAAGAAATGCTGAGACTGGTGTTCTTGATTCTTATAATTAGAAACTCGGTCAAGCAGCTTTTTGAGGCACAACTCCGTGCCATCAGAAGGAGGAGAGCATGACTATAATTATTGAACGCGGAAAGACGTTGGCGAGTGGTAAGTACAGGTTACAACTAATGTGCTCATTCTCAAGCTAGTTATACAGTAAGTCAAATTTAAAGCTGTGCGAAAACAGCACATTACTTGAAGCTAAGGATTTTTTAAAAAACTAATTTTATTTATTGTTTTATTTCAGATCCCGTTCAACGACCAGACCTTAAACGTGTTGCTAATGTGTCGCAGCCCACCTTCAATATGGGCCCACAGCAGAGCGAATGAATGGTGGACTTCGGTCGTTGCCGAATTTTACAGACGACCAGTGGACACAGAATTTTAGGATGTCTAAGGACACATTCGAGTACCTTTGCCGCAGATTACGATTAAAATTGGAAAAGCGTGATAACAACTTTCGTAGTTGTGTGCCCTTAAAAAAACGCATAGCCATCGCACTATGGAAGCTGGCAACCAACACAGAGTTGAGGCTTGTGGCACATTTGTTTGGTGTAGGCATTTCCACAGTGTGGAAATGCACGCACAAGTTTTGCAGGGCTGCTAACAAGGTTCTATTGCCGGAACTGATGCCGTTTCCTAATTTACACAAGCTTCGAGCAGAGATTCGGACTTCCACAGTGTGTCAGCGCCATCGATGGATCACACATCCACATAATTTCGCCTACCGACTACCACACAGAATATTTTAACTGGAAAGGCTGGCATTCTATTGTGCTTCAGGGTGTTGTTGATGGCAGGGGACTGTTTTGGCACCTTTCTGCAGGATACCCTGGTAGTATGCATGATTCCAGAGTCCTACGTGTATCAGAATTGTGGGATCGGGTTGAACAAGGACTGCTGTTCCCGAACCAGACAAAGAGCATTGCTGGTCAGGATGTGGGTTTCTATGTAGTAGGTGATGCTGCATATCCACTGCAAAACTGGCTTTTAAAAACCTTTCTAGATACAGGATCATTAACGGCCGAGCAGAGAACATACAATCTTAAAATCAGCAGAACAAGCTGTGTAGTTGAGAAAGCATTTGGTCAGCTAAAGGGTAGATGGAGATGTTTACTTAAACGTAATGACTGCCATGTTCATTTTGTTAAGTCTATGGTGCTCTGCTGTTGTATTCTTCACAACTTATGTGAAATGCATGGTGAGAGGTACATAGATGAGTGGGACCCTCCTGTTGCACCAGACCAGCTCCCTGTGGCAGAACCAAACAGGGAAGTTGATGGTGCAGCAGTGAGGGTGCGCAATGCCCTGATGCATTATGTAAATACTGCTTAGCATTGGTGTTTTTTTTGTTGCATTGTTAATCTGTCCTGGATATGTTTGCCATATCACATGTTTCATATTGTTTGTTCCAATATTGTACAGCTGAGACTGCTGAGTGGAAAAAGATTTATTAAAGTGTCTTGAGTGCAAGTGTTTTTAAGTCCAAGTACTGTTAAATGCAAAAATTCACATTAAATGCCCATGTAACACACCACACACACACAAATGAATAAAAAATAAAATAAAATAAACCAGCAACAAACAACGGTTCAGTGCGCTGAGTTCGGGGGACGGTTGTTGTTCACTGCCTGAACAAGCTGTCCCAAAACATTAAGCAGTCCACGATTAAATTTGTTCATGCTTTGTAACAGCTCCATCTCTCTCGCAGCAGCAGTCCGTTCATGCTGTTCTAGATCCTGAAGGACCTTAAGTTGCTGTTCGTGGCGTTGATCCTCGCGGGGCTGCACCATTTCGAACATCGTGGCTAAAGTTGCTGACCGTCTATGTTTCCTTCTGGCTGTTAAAAAATTAAAAGACAAAATTTCATTTTACATAACTGCTTATGAAACCATCTTAATGCAAAAATTGCTATTTGATTTTAGCTCATCTGTTTACCTTACCTGCAGTGGGGGTACTACGAGCTTCCACATTGCCAGCAAAGGACGTAGACGATGAAGGAGCTGGTGAAGATTGCATGGGACTATCTAGAGATACACACATGCAAAAACACGTTAAACTGTGTATAGAGTCACATATTACAGATGAAACTGAACACAAAATTACTTCATTTTACCTGAATTGTCTTCGGTCAAACTGTGTTCTTCAGTCGCCTGACTGGAAATCACTGGAGACATGGCAGAGTCCACGATGTTACTTCTGCACGTATTTGTGGGCCTGTGGCCCAAATGGCGTCCAGTGCCTCAAACCATGTGTTGGTTTTCCTGTCGGCGCCACTCCTGTTATTGTGATCTTTCAGTTTTCTGTAGTCCTGCTTAAGTTTCTTGATCTTCAAGCGGCATTGTTCTGTGTTTTGCGTGTGTCCCATGTCTTCCAAGCGGCTTGATATTATGGCAAATACTTTTTTATTTCTAGTCGTGCCATCCAAATCCCGCTGGATCTGTTCATCTGACCATATGGCAATTAAGCCTGTGTTTCCTCATTTGTCCATCCTTCCATTTTACTTTTTTATAGTTTTGTTTCAACTACTTTCTACTACTTGTTTGTACTATGTCATTTCTCGCTGTTCGCTGTGTGTTTCAAAAGATGGCGGTTGTATCTTGTGTTTTAGCGGCAGGCTATTTGCATAACCAATCGACAGCAAATATGTTTGCAAGTCCCACCCCAAAGTACCAAAGAAGTACCCCAACTGGTTTGGCACTTTCGGTACTTTAACTTTCGGTACTGGTACTCGACCAGAAGTCAATGGAAAAGCGAAAGTACCAAAAGTACCGTACTGGAAGTACTGTACTTTGTGCGGTGGAAAAGCGCCCCTAGTGGAACACGCAAACACACAGCCGAAGTGACAGTATCCAGAGGGGAGATCAAAGAGGCGAAGTCGAAGTACAAGCGAAGGTTCAAAACCAAACATGCAGTCAAAACCAGGGCGAAGGTACAATAAGGGATGAGGCGAGAGTTGAAAACCAGGAATCAAAACAGTCATACACGAGCAGTCACACCTAAAACAAAGCGAATGAAGAGCAAGCTAGCAGGTGAGAAGCAAGCAGAAGCAGACGAAATGACGAAGCTGCAGCCTCTTCTATCGATGAACCAGAAACTGCTCCGAAGGCAAGGGAGGCGAGGCCAGGTCCAGAAGGCGGAGTCGAGGGAGCGGTTGACCAATGGGCGAGTGAGCAGAACATCCGAAGAACCTGTAGGCATCCTCCTGAACTTACGGCACGTAACAATAGCCCGATGATATGCCGTGGGCCTTTTAATTTGTTTGTTTGCAATTTCTCCAGGTAGGCTATCTTCTTTAAACTGCGTTTTGTTAGGCTACATATTTCGGAATGGTTTATTGTAGTCTTTGTAAATATGTATATAGTTTAGCCTAACCCAGCCAAGCAAGCCAGCTCAACTAGGTGCCGGTCCCAAGCCCGGATTAATGGGGAGGGTTGGTGTCAAGAAATAAAGAGACTGTATCTTCACTGCATCACTGATGTCAAAATGTGGGAAATATGTGGTTGTATAAATAAATGCGTTAAAGTAGGTTAATGATTCCGTGCTGTCTAAGTTGTATAAAGAGTTAGGCTACATGACATTTGAATGGGCTGTACCCGGATGCATGGACACATTATGAAAATGAGAAAGACGGTGTGTGCACACTAATTAACCTATACCCTATTCACTTAGACAATACACTGTAATTTTTGCAACAGAAATGGATGAGATGGGCAGGCAGCTGGAAGTAGAATTTTTGTCCTTGGTAAAACGCTGACGGTCTCCACACTGGTAACAACGTTACCAGTGTGGCATAGCCAAACAAGGCATAGCCAAACAAGGCATAGCCAAACAAATCTCCTGTCTGAAAAGGCGTAGAAAACGCAATTTAGCCACTAAAACTTTACAGTTTTTGTGAGGGACAGTCAAATTCTCTCAAAATTTTTGTGTTCTTGCACCCACACTTTAAAACTCGTTTCAGCACCGCCACATATACGTGTGTGTGTGTGTTTGTGTGTGTGTGTGTGTGCGCGCAGGGGGGGGACCCGATCGGTGTTTTGCCCCGGGCACTCGTGTGCAGTTGTTCCACCACTGCTCCAGCTTATCACGGAGGTCATCGGCTTCCACCTTCATAGCAAATGGGTTGGCTTCCTAGGTGGCTTTCACCTGTTTCTTCTAACAACTTCCCTCCCACCGACATTGTAGTTTGGCAAATATCATCCAACTCTGCCAGGTCAACTGAAATCATCTGTAGCGTTGTGAATATGTTTGAAATTTTCAATGCACTACGCCCATCACCCAGTGGTCATACATAAAAGTATTAGGATAATTAACACAATGTTTGTCAGCGCTTATCACCTAGGCGGCCATTTCAATACTTGTGTTACGTGACTCCCTTTATCAATTCTTTTACGCATCAGAACATAATAAAAGGCCTATGATGTGATTTACTTAGATTTCCAGAAGGCCTTTGATGTTGTCCCCACAAACGGCTCTTGCTAAAGCTTAAAGCTGCAGGGATTTTAGGAACTGTGGCAGCTTGGATCAAAAACTGGCTAACTGACAGGAAGCAGCGAGTAGTTA